ATACCTTTGTATCAAAATGGCACCAATGTACTGCCTCGGCCGCAAGCGACCTCGGCTTAATATATATTTTCGTGTAAATTGTATGGTTTTATATCAATATGGTATCGATGTAGCGCCTCGCCCTCAAGCGACCTCGGCTTAATATACAGGGTGCCCATTATGTATGGAATATAGTATATATCTTGGTAAATATCAACTTCATAAAAAAACATTTTATACAAAAGTTGTTTAATATTTGATTTGTAATAATAAGAAAGCATTCAATTGTTTTTATTTTACAAAACAAACAAGCAACGAATAACACTTTAAGTTTTTTAAATGGCAATGTACCCTTTCGTTAGGCTCATTTGATAGAGCTTTTTTTCTCTTTACGATGACGTAAAATTTTAGTACCCATATACCAGAAAATTTTTGAAAAAAATGTAAAAATTGTTTATTATGAAAATTTTACTAATAACATTAATCTAGATATCCGAGATCATCAAGTACCTGGAAGTACCTCGAATTATTTGAGATGTACCCTAATTTTTCGTTTATTTGTTTTATTTTGTACGTAAATTTAATTTATGGTAATAATTCGAAGTACTTGACGATCTTGGATATCTAAATTAATGTTATTTATTAATTTTTATTAATAAATAATTTTTACATTTTTTTCAAAAATTTTCTGATGTAAGAGTATAAAAATTTTACGTCATCGTAAAGAGAAAAGTAATCTCTATCAAATGAGCCTAACGAAAGGATACATTGCTATTTAAAAAACTTCAAGTATTATTCGTTGCTCGTTTGTTTTCTGAAACAAAAACAATTGAATGCTTTCTTATTATGGCAAATAAAATATTAAACAACTTTTGTATAAAATGTTTTTTTATAAAGTTGATATTTACCAAGATATATACTATATTCCGTACATAATGGGCACCCTGTATATTTTCTTGAAAATTGTATGGTTTTATATCAATACAGCGTGTCCCGTATCTTCCGCATCAGAGCATTATACGGTTGTAGAATACATTATTCTGAAGCGATCTTTTTAATAAAATTTTTTCGAAATGTTTATAATAACCGCACGGGAACTGTTTAACGAAGACCAATAACTGACGACTTTGATTCATCGAAAAAGTTTATTTCTCTTTCCATGACGAATCTATTGGTGAGTACACGTGGGAAACGAGTTATCATCGGCGTAGCGGACCGGCCGAGGGTGGCACCGATTACCTGAGTCTGATTTGCGATCTGCTGATTGGACGAAAANAACCCATACTACCAAAATTTTAAAACTGTACGAATACTTGAACCTAAAAAAGTTTTAACGAACCAGTTACGTGAGACACCTGTAGATATGAGATCAATGTAGCGCCTCGCCCGCAAGCGACCTCGGCTTAATTAGTATATAAACCATTGAAAATGATATACCTTTGTATCAAAATGGCACCAATGTACTGCCTCGGCCGCAAGCGACCTCGGCTTAATATACAGGGTATTTCGGTGACCAAATTTAACCATACAATGTGTCCCAGGATAGATGTTACAATAGGTATAATGACCTAAAAATTTTTGAATTTTATTTTAAGGGTTTAGAATTAAGGTCTGCTTGGTGTGGAGAGAATTTTAAGTATATTTTAATGTTTTGAAAATCAACTCTGGCTTGACAGTGAAGCGAAAACTATTTTTAGTTCAGGTAAAGTAAACTTTTTGTTTATGATACGACAAAATTTCATTAAGAAAAGTTGTTCAGAATGAAAAATTATGATACTATGCAAAATTTCAGAAACATCTACCTACATTGATTAAACCACCATATTTTAGATTAGATCAGGGTGAAGAAAAGCAACAATGAAAAATGCCATAAAAAAAGTATTATCCCTCAGTTTTAGTTCATATTTCAACTACTCTTGCACTATGTTAACATTAGAACAGAAAATTTACGTCGTGCAGTGTTATGGGCTTGGGCAGAGTACACTAAGAGCAGTGGTGCAGCAGTTTAGCGAGAGATTTCCTAATACCAATCTTACACGTATGACTGTTACGCGAATAGTTAAGAGATTTCTTACTTCGGGAAGCGTTGTTAACATTAAGACAGAGAAAAAGAAGTATAACGACAATAGAAAATTAGCTTTAGAGAATTTAGGCATTGTATAGAAAAGTGTGCAACAAAAGGTGGATGTTATCCTTCTGAAATTTTGTATAGGACCATAATTTCTCATTTTGAACAACTTTTTTTTAATAAAATTTTTCCGTATCATGAACAAAAAGGTTACTTTACCCAAACCAAAAATAGTTTTTGATTCACTGTTAAGGCCGACTTTGTTTTCAAAATATGAAAATTCAAAAAATTTTAAGTCATTATACCTCTTGTAACATTTATCCTGGGACACACTGTATATACTAGAGTGAAAATGATGACGATTCATGTAAAAAAAATTAGTAAAAGTCCTCAAATTGCAAAGATACAGGCCATCAAAGTTAGGAAATTTTAACACATTTTTCCAAGTATCTTAAACACTATTTACAGTAAAGCGTTGAAATTTGGTACAGTGTAAATCAATGTCATGTAAAATCGTTAGGCAATTTATGAATTGGATCGGTCATCGGGAACAATGCTATACAGGATGTTCCTAAAGTTTGTTTGTTCAGAACTTTTTTATTCTATCATAACCTAAGTCTCTTGTA